GTGCTGTCCCGCAGCCTGGGCGGGGACCCGCGTCCCGTCAAACCCAGGTGAGTCCAGGTCTTGGGCCAGCCAGCCCCTCTGGCCCCCACAGGGAACCAGAGTGCCGGGGGCCACCCTCCCTCCAACCGCCACCTGCTGCTAGGGCTCCCGTCCCAAACCAAGGCCCCTGCCCCAGGCTCAGCAGCGCCTGAGCAGGGCCAGAGGACCCTCTTCCTCTGCCTCCCTGCACAGGGCAGTTGCTCCTCCCCACACACATGGACACAGCAGCCCCTTTTCTGGGGGTGTCTGCTGGGGGAGGGAAGGCTGGCGGTATCCCCAGGCCCACCTGTGACCAAAGGTAGGGCAGAAGCTGAATCACCCTGAGCCCTGAGAGTGGTGACCCACAGAGGCTGGGCCGCTGGGGTGCCCTTTGCCCAAGGAGGTGCCGGTTCCCAGGACACGTGACCCGGGCCACTGAGATGGTCCCAGGCCCCAAGCCCAGAGGGGATGCGTGGGCTTCCCCTGGCCGTGCTCCAGGCTGTGTGTGGGTGGGGGCCGTGGGCTTCCCCTGGCAGTGACCCAGGCCTGTGTAGAGGCAAAAGTGGGTAGGTGTGAGGTCTCTGAAAGGCTGAGCCATCCAGTTGATATTCTCCATCTGCCTCTGCAGGGAGCCCCCAGCCCGGACCCCTTCCAGCAGCCTGCAGCCCAGGCACCCCGCACCCCGACCTGTGGTTTGGAAGCTTCAACAGGTCCTCCAGCCACAGAGGGGTGCTGGCCTGGCCCCTGCTGTGGGTCAGCCTCTCCGGGATGGTGGCCGCCAACACTTGGGCCCCCGAAGACACTTGGGCTCCCGCAGGACCCAAGCCCAGCTCCTGCGAGTGGGCTGTGTGCTGGGCACCTGTCAGGTGCAGAATCTCAGCCACCGCCTGTGGCAACTCATGGGACCGGCCGGCCGGCAGGACTCAGCTCCTGTGGACCCCAGCAGCCCCCACAGCTATGGCTGAAGTGGGGCTGGGCCACACCCCTGCCTATCCCAGCCAGGGTGCTGTGCCCCCGTCCAGAGCTGCAGCTGAGCCCCCTCCACAGCCCAGTCCCTCGGAGCTGCAGACAGCAGGTCCTGTGGCAACAATGCCTGCACGGCGTCGCACACGTAAACCCTCGCACACCTGTAGACCGAGGTTGGTCTACATGCAGTGCTGGTACGTCAAGGAGCCTAAACACCTTGAAATTGTAAACCCTTGGGGGATGGCTGCCAGACCCAGCTGGTGGCAGCACCAGATGCTAAAAAGCGTTTTAAAGAGGAGGCATCTGCCAGGGATGTGGAGCAGAAGCTGGGCCCTGAACCCACAGGGCCACGTCTGGGCGAGCAGGGGAGAGGGGCTGAATTGGCCGGAAGCGGCCCCTCCGCTGCTGGTCCAGTCAGACTGAAGCCCGGCCTTGTGCCTGGGCTGTTCCTGCTGTCGTGCACAACCAGCCCTTCCACGTGCCTGCCTGGCCCGGGGTCCCAGCCTCTCCCTCCCCATGCCTTTGGGACAGGATAGGGAGTGTGGGATGCTGTAGCCCCCTGTGGTTGGGCAAGGGAAGGATGGTGGCCCTCCAGAGGTCATGAAGGGACCTCTGTGGCTCCAGCTGCCAACCCTGGAACCCAGACTGAGGTAGCCATGGGGACTCCATCTGGATCCCCTGTGGGAAGCCGGGGAGGGGAACTTAGAAGTTCAGAAGCCACCCCAAACCATTCTGGGACAGGGACACCCCTTCCTACCCCAGGACAGGGCAGGGCTGGGTGGGGCAAGATTCCCCAGCCCAAATAGACCCACCCTACCTCAAGGGGGTGAGACCCTTGTTGGCAGCCAGACAAGGGTGGGGCAACACAGGCGCCCCACCACCACCCAGTGTGGGGGCCCAGTGGAACCAGGTGTGGGGCCAGCAGGTGACTCGCCAAGAGCCCGGGAGGGCAGCCCAGCCCCAAATGACAAGAACAAGAACCACTGCCAGTGTGCACGGACTTGCTGTGTATTCTTCCCCGGGGAGATGGGGGGCTCATGTGCGTGTGCCGCTCGAGGCTCCCAGTCGTCCAGCAGAACGCAGGGTTCAGAAAGGGTTCCTTCCGCTACTTAGCAAACACTCAGCATTTAATTTGCAAATGTTTGCTAGGGTCACCCTCTCAGCCACCCCATGAGGGTCGCCATGATCACCCCAACTCTAGAGGCTACAGCAGAGCTCAGGACATTCCCCCACAGCCTGCCCCTCAGTGACTACCTCCAAAGGGGAGGGTCCCGGAAGCGCCCACCCAGGCGCCGCCTCTGTGCTTGCTCCCTGAGCTCAGGGATCGCCGGGTCCAGGTAACTGACCTGTGCGCCACGAGGCCCTGTGGGAACAGTCCAGGCTGATCCTGCCCTGTGGAGGCCTCCGTGCACTGGGAGATGGACTAGGGTTGCAGCAGAGGTGGTCAGGGTGGTGGGCCGCACAGCAAGGCAGTCAAGGCCGGCTCCCTGGGAGAAGCACTGGATCAGTGAGGTCTGAGGACAACAGGCCTTCCCTAGGGGAAGGAGCTGGGAGTGCCAAGTCCCCAGGTGCACAGGAGGCTTGGCTGCTGAGAGGCTGCAGGGTGGAGGGGCCTCGGGCTCTGAGTCACGTGTCCTGTGGTCACTGAAGGGTGTCAGCAGAGCACAGGGCATGGGGACAGAGGGAGGGGACCCCGGGGCAAGGCTGGGGGGTCAGGAGCTCAGTGTCCGCTACTCAACCCAGCCAAAACCCTCCCAGATGCCTCCTCTCCTGCCTAGGCAAAGTCCAGCTTGGCACCCTGTCTGGGGCCTGCCTGTGGTCAGGGCCAAGTGTTCCCTCCTCCAGGAAAGCCTTCACCCTCCTCATGCCCTGTAGTCAGGAGGCCGCCTTCCGTGACCCTCTGCATCGCCTCAGGTGTGAAGCCAGACCCACCTGACACCCTCACGCACAGGCCCAGCAGCACCTGCACTCACCCCCACCTTCGCCAGCAACCACTTCCCGCTGCTCTGGCCAAAACCTCCTCTAGGCTGGGCCTGGTGGCTCACACCTGTAATCCCAGCACTTTGGGAGGCCAAGTCAGGCAGATCACCTGAGGTCAGGAGTTCAAGACCAGCCTGGCCAACATGGTGAAACCCCATCTCTACTAAAAATACAAAAATTACAAAATTAAATACAAATACAATAAAATATACAATATTAAAATATAAAATATTAAATAAAAAATACAAAATTAATTGGGCACAGTGGCACATGACTGTAATCCCAGCTACTCAGGAGGCTGAGGCAGGAGGATCACTTGAACCTGGAGGTTGCAGTGAGCTGAGATTGTGCCACTGCACTCCAGCCTGGGTAACAAGAGCAAAGCTCTGTCTCAAAAAAAAAAAAAAAAAATAGTAATAATACAAAAATTAGCTGGGCGTGGTGGCACACGCTAGTAATTACATCTACTCAGGAGGCTGAGGCAGGAGACTCGTCTGAGCCCGGGAGGTGGAGGTTGCAGGGAGGTGGAGGTTGCAGTGAGCTGAGATTGCACTGCTGCACTCAAGCCTGGACGACAGAGCAAGACTCCGTTTCAAAAAAAACAAAAACAAAAAACCCCCTCTCTTCTCTTGCACCTTCCTATGAATCCCGCCTGGTCCCACTTCCTGAACTTATCCAGACACCTTCTCCTGACCCAGGCACCACCTGCTGTGGGGGCGATGGCCGTAGCCTCCTCCCAGTGCCTGTCTCCATCCCTCTGGCCAGTGCATGCTGAGCACGTGACCCACGCTTGTTGGGACACTTGAGGATACAGCCTTGCCCCCGGGGGCTGACGTTCTAGGGGGAGACAGGAGACAAACATAGAAGGTAGAGTAAGTGGGTGGTGGAGTGGCAGGGAGTGCTGAGTGCCACGGGAAGTCAGACAAGGAGAGTGTGGGGCAGGTGCCATTTAAATGGGGGGCGCTGGGGTCTCCTCACAGCTCCTTTTCAGCTCAGCTGTGCCAGAATCTTGTTGAGTCAGGTCAGCTCCCCACAGCCCTCACCTGACACCTGAAGCCCAGAACTGTGATCTGCACAGCCCTAGGTATGGCCCCAGCAAACCACTGCCTCTCCCCTGCCCCAGCTGACTGCTGTTCCCAGACTCTTCCCTGGCCACGCTCCAAGATGCCAGCTCTGCTGCAGGCACTTTGTTCTCCCAGTGTCCTCCGTGCCTGCAGGGCCCATGCATGGGAAGTTGCATTGGCAGCCCGGGTGCTGGCGATTCCATTTCTGCTCCCCACTCTCCATGAGGCCCCTCTCCCAGAGCCTGACACATTCTGTGGCCGAACTCTAGGCAGGTGCTCCTGAGTCCTTCCCTCGACGAGGCCTGACCTTATCCCCATCCTCTCTGGGCCCACCGACCCCGGTGTTAGCAAGAATCCTGGTAAATCAGTTTATGGAGAATTACCCACCCTCAATATCTGATCCAGTTCCTCATCTCCTACCCGTGATCTCGTCACCCTGCCAGCCTCCTGCAAGACCCCCGTTGAGCCGCTCTGGCGAGAATCCCCCACCCTCAAAGGCTCCCCTAGCAACTTCCCATCCGCTGACCCCTCCGACGCCATCGATCTCCAGCTCCTCTCACCACACTCTCGAATAAAGCTTTTCTCACCATTTTAACAAGTCCTCAGAATCATCTTTTCTTAACTAGCCCCTGCCCCACCTAGAATCATGAGGGGCCTGGGGCAAGTTTTCTCCTCCTGAGATCCAGTGGGGCAGCCGGGGAAGGGGTGGCGCAGCGGGGGTGTGTGCTTGAGGGTGGGGTCTTGGGTCTGCCCCTACTTGTGGGACCCCACAGAGGGGTCTAAAGCCAGGGTCAAGTGGGAGGCTGGGCCCACAGGCAACCCTAAGCAGGTCAGCGGCTCAGGACAGGAGGGAGGCCGAGTCAGGGCAGGAGGATGTGGGACTGCTGGGGGCTGCTTATGTGCTGACACATTAACTCCCTGAGGCCAGGAGGAGGGTGGATGGTCACTCATTACCACAGTCGCTTATGTAACCTGGGGTGTATATAGGAGCCCGGCTGAGGACACACTCACCAGCCTGCACTTTGCCACCTGAGCGCCGCTCCCTCTCAGGATGAAGGTGACGGTGGTGAGTACCCAGACCCCATGCAGAGAGGCCCCGCTGACTGCTCTCCTGGTGGCCAGCTGCTCCTGCCCTCTTCTAGCTGGCACTGGCCAGCTCTGCTCCTCCGTCCAGCTGGGGAAGAGCCAGTGGCTGCCAACCCCCAGGCTCCCTGTGGACTCAGTCTCCTCCCAAGGCTGCTTCCACCCCTCAAGGGTGGCCATGGGTGCCGCTCAGGCGTGGTATCCCCTGCACCCTGGAAGCAGACGTCTGCTGACATTCACTTTGTAGATAAGGACCTGGGAGTGAGAGCTCCTGGGACTCGCTGAGGCCAGGGCAGGGGCCGGGATGATGGTGCAGGAGAGGCTGTGCCCTCACGTGTCCCCCACCAGCTCTCGAGCGGAGGCAGGCTTGGAGTCTGCAGCCACGCTGGGAATGTCTGTGCTTCCTCATGGAGCTGACTGATGGTGAAATAGGTTCAATACTCCACCTGCCCAGGGCCCAGACCCTTCCCTGGTCTACCGACCTGATGTGGACCCAGAGATGGCCAAAGACAAGGCCAGCTTCCGGAACTACACGGTGAGTGCCTTGACATCCCACCCCCCGACCCCCTATTCACACCCTGGGGAGCAGCACCTGCCCCTCACACAGCTCCAGGAGGTGCCCTGTGGGAACCCTCATCCCCATCACACCCTGTGGGGCTGCCTGGGAGAGGGGAGGCACGGGGCCTTGTGTGCAGGTTGGGGGTAGTGTCAGCCTCCACTGACCCTCCGGCCTGCAGTTGGGTCCCCTCCTGGACCGTGTCTTCACCACCTACAAGCTCATGCACACGCACCAGACAGTGGACTTCGTCAGGAGCAAGGTAGGCGTTTCCTGCCGCCCTGTGCAAACGCAGAGGACTTGCCCTCAACCCCATGAGCCCACCAGGCACCGAGAGGATGGAGACGACTGTGCGGTGGGCCTGCTGACCCTGGGCCATGCTGCCTTCTCCTTCCCCACCAGCATGCCCAGTTTGGGGGCTTCTCCTACAAGAAAATGACAGTCATGGAGGCTGTGGACCTGCTGGATGGGCTGGTGGACGAGTCAGACCCAGATGTAGATTTCCCCAACTCCTTCCATGCCTTCCAGACGGCGGAGGGCATCCGGAAGGCCCACCCAGACAAGGGTGAGCCCCAGCTCTGCTGCAGGGGGGCAGGTGCTGCCTCCAAGGGGCAGAATGCAGCGGCCTATAGGGTGGAAGGGGGTAGTGGTGGGCCCAGGCCTCCAGCAGCCCTGCCTGGGTTGGGGAGCAGGTCCTGGGCCCCACTTGGCTCTCAGCCCCGCAAACCTGCTCATCCTCTGCCCTTGGCCCCTGCAGTCCCCAACCTACCCTGTCCATCCCCCTCCCAGACTGGTTCCACCTTGTTGGGCTCCTGCACGACCTGGGGAAAGTCCTGGCCCTGTTCGGGGAGCCCCAGGTAAGGGCTGGTGGTTGTGGGTGAGGAGGTCTGCATGTTGAGGCAAGGTGGGGGCAGGGTGGCTTCAGTGCTTGGCCTGGGATACCACCTGCGGGGCAGTCCAGTGCACCCCCCACGGCCCCCCCACGGCTGCCTGTCCCTCTGGTGGCCTCAGTGCTTGGCCTGGGGACAGCCCAGTGCACCCCAGCCCCCGGCTGTCCTCAGTGGCCTCAGTGCCGCTGAGATGGCCATTCACCCCAAGCCCCGGCTCCTGTCCCTCCTGGTGGCCCCCCACGGCCCCCCCACGGCTGCCTGTCCCTCTGGTGGCCTCAGTGCGTGGCCTGGGGGACCGGCCAGTGCACCCCCCACGGCCCTCCCACAGCTGCCTGTCCCTCTGGTGGCCTCAGTGCTTGGCCTAGGATACTACCGCAGGGGCAGGCCAGTGTACCACCCACGGCCCCTCCATGGCCACCCCACGCCTTCCCGCCATGGCACCCCCATGACTGCCTGTCCCTCTGGTGGCCTCGGTGCTTGGCCTGGGACACTATCTGGGGGGCAGGCCAGTGCACCCCCACGGCCCCCCACACCCCCACGGTCCCCCACAACTGCCTGTCCCTCTGCAGTGGGCGGTCGTTGGAGACACCTTCCCTGTCGGATGCCGTCCCCAGGCTTCCGTGGTTTTCCGCGACTCCACCTTCCAGGACAACCCTGACCTCCAGGATCCTCGATACAGGTGCTTCCCGCTGCCCAGGGCTGGGCTCCCCTCCCTGGGCGGCTCCTGAGCCCCCCTCACCCTGGTATCTCACTGCAGCACAGAACTCGGCATGTATCAGCCCCACTGCGGGCTCGACAGGGTCCTCATGTCCTGGGGCCATGATGGTGAGGCCAGACTGGGGCAGTGGGGGACGGTGGGGCAGAGGCGGTGCCTGGTGGTGACACCCTCTCCCCACAGAGTACATGTACCAGGTGATGAAGTTTAACAAGTTCTCACTGCCCCCGGAGGTAGGTGGGGGGACGGGCAGCCTGGCCCCGGCCACCAGGCCCTGTCCCGCAGCCCTGAGACAGCTGCTGGGTATGGCTTGCCCACAGGCTTTCTACATGATCCGGTTCCACTCCTTCTACCCCTGGCACACGGGCAGCGACTACCAGCAACTGTGCAGCCAGCAGGACCTGGCCATGCTGCCCTGGGTACAGGAGTTCAAGTACGGCCCTCCCCGCTGAGGGGGCTTGTGGGAGTGAAGCGGCGGGGGTGGGACCTGGGGGCTCTTCACGGGGCTCACCGCCTCTCCCTGCTGCAGCAAGTTCGACCTCTACACCAAGTGCCCGGACCTGCCGGACGTGGACAAGCTGCGGCCCTACTACCAGGGGCTCATTGACAAGTACTGCCCTGGCATCCTGAGCTGGTGACCCTCCTGCCACCCAAGCTGCTGCTGGACCCAGGCCTGGCCCTCCGCCTGCCTGGAGAGGTCTGGCCCTGGGCAGATAGCCGCCATCAGGGTTCACCTTGGTGGGGGACCCCACTCACCCCCTTAGGGTCGCCACCCCTCGTGGCAACTTGTGCCTGGCGGCAATAAAGACCTGGAAGGACACTGTGCTTCTGAAGCCTCACTGGGTGTTACTGCAGCAGGGGGTGGCCCAGGCCGAGTGACCCTGCCAGCAGGGTGGAGGCCAACTCCCAGGATCTGAGATGTGTGTGTCCCAATGCACTGGTCGTGGTAAATATCCGCTCATACTCCCAGCTCCCATGTCAGAGCCTGGGGGACAAGTCATCCAGCTCACCCCCACATCCTCAAAACAGTCACCAAGTCCTCCGGGCTCCGTCCCATTAAAAAATAGCCCAATAGCTAAAATAATGCATTCATAGAAAACAACAAAAAAACCAATGCAGGCCGGGCACAGCGGCTCACACCTATAATCCCAGCACTTTGGGAGGCTGAGGTGGGTGGATCACCTGAGGTCAGGGGTTCAAGACTAGCCTGGTTGACACGGCGAAACCCGGTCTCTACTAAAAATATAAAAATTAGCCAGGCATGGTGGCGGGCACCTGTAATCCCAGCTATTCAAGAGGCTGAGGCAGGAGAATTGCTTGAACCCGGGAGACGGAGGTTGCCATGAGCCAAGATTGCACCACTGCACTCTAGCCTGGGTACCAAGAGTGAAATTCCATCTCAAAAATAAAAAATAATAAAATAAAATAAAACAAGTGCATAGTTTAAATGCTATAAAGCAAACACCTGTGGCCACCACCCCTGAACCGGCCCTCCAGGACCCTCCACGTGCCCTGGGTGCGGCTCCCGTGAAGAGCAGCCCCTCCGCGGCGCTGAAGGCACCGTCCCTCCTCTCTACATGGTTTTGTCACCCAGGCATGCAGCCCTTGTTGCCAACCAGTGGCCGCCCCTCCATCTTCTCTGAAATTCATCTCTGAAGAAAGTAAACTGTCCCAGGAAATTCATCTTTGTGGCGATTCTGTACCTGTATTTTTTTTTTTTTTTTTTTTTGAAACAGAGTCTTGCTCTGTGGCCCAGGCTGGAGTGCAGTGGCGCAATCTCGGCTCACTGCAAGCTCCGCCTCCCGGGTTCACGCCATTCTCCTGCCTCAGCCTCCCGAGTAGCTGGGACTACAGGCGCCGCCACCGCGCCTGGCTAATTTTTTGCATTTTTAGTAGAGACGGGGTTTCACCGTGTTAGCCAGGATGGTCTTGATCTCCTGACCTCGTGATCCACCCGCCTCGGCCTCCCACAGTGCTGGGATAACGGGCTCGAGCCACCGCCCCGGCCGATTCCGTACCTGTTAACGTTTTCCTCTGACCTTCTGCCAATCGGTGCCCGGATTTAGAGGCTTCCCCAGATTCCGTTTGGTTGGTTGGGGGCACGAGTGCTTTCAGGAGTGGTGTTTCCTGAGGAAGAGGCGTGCGGGGCCTGTCCTCAGTGTTGTCAGCCGGCAGCTGTGGGTGTTCAAGCTCATCCGGATCCTCCACTCCCCGGGTATGGAACAGCCGGGTCGCTTTCTGTCCTCGGCTGCGCAGGGAACGCTTCCGGTCTGTCCTCGGCCGCGCAGGGAACGCTTCCGGTCTGTCCTCGGCCGCGCAGGGAACGCTTCCGGTCTGTCCTCGGCCGCGCAGGGAACGCTTCCGGAAGCGGAAGTTGCCTCCCACGTGCTCTTCGGCTCCACAGTGGTCCTGTTTGTATAGAAAGGTAGATCGATGTTTCAGTCCTTCCCTTAATTATTATTATTATTTTTTTTTGAGACCGTTTCACTCTGTCGCCCAGGCTGGAGTGCAGTGGTGCAATCTCACCTCACTGCAACCTCCGCCTCCCAGGTTCAGGCGATTCTCTTGCCTCAGCCTCCGGAGTAGCTGGGATTACAGATGCACGCCACCACACCTGGCTAATTTTTTGTACTTTTAGTAGAAACGAGGTTGGCCGGGCACGGTGGCTCACGCCTGTAATCCCAGCGCTTTGGGAGGCCGAGGCGGGTGGATCACGAGGTCAGGAGATGGAGACCATCCTGGCTAACACGGTGAAACCCCGTCTCTACTAAAAACTCAAAAAATTAGCGGGGCGTGGTGGCGGGTGCCTGTGGTCCCAGCTTCTCCGGAGGCTGTGGCAGGAGAATGGCATGAACCCGGGAGGTGGAGCTTGCAGTGAGCCGAGATTGCACCACTGCACTCCAGCCTGGGCCACAGAGCGAGACTCCATCTCAACAAAAAAAAAAAAAAAGAAAAAAAAGAAACGAGGTTTCATCATGTTAGCCAGGCTGGTCTTGAACTACTAACCTCAGGTAATCCACCTGCCTTGGCCTCCCAGAGTGCTGGGATTATAGGCATGAGCCACTGTGCCTGGCCCCTTAATTTTTTTTTTTTTGGAGACAGGGTCTCGCTTTGTCACCCAGGGCTGAAATATGGTGGCACGATCTCAGCTCCACCTCCTGGGTTCAAGCGATTCTCCTGCCTCAGCCTCCCGAGTAGTGGGGATTACAGGCACCTGCCAACACGCCTGGCTAATTTGTTATGTTTTTAGTAGAGATGGGGTTTCGCCATGTTGGCCAGGCTGTTCTCAAATTCCTGACCCCAAGTGATCTGTCCAGGCCTCCCAAAGTGCTAGGATTACAAGCATGAGCCACCGTGCCTGGCCTCTTCCCTTAATTTACCAGCGTGCCTCAGAGCTGGTTCCCTGGCATCCTTCGGGGCAGTCAGCTTCTGTTTGTAGGAAGAACAATAGATCTCACCATATTTAACAGCTCTGTTCCTCGAGGGATCCTCCCTAGGGCTCAGTTGTTCCATCCTTGGTGGGGACGGGTGAGGGTCTTCCAGGCTAACTCCCGGCTCCTTCCGACATGACGGCTACACTCTGTGATGTGCAACTTGCCATCTGGAGTGATGAGATCCCCAGACTGTTCCCTATGGCTGCCATAACAAGTTACTACAAATTGAGTGGCTTAAAACAACAGAAATTCCACCAAAAATGTTAAAACTAGTTAATAGATTCTGTAAAGTTGCAGCATACAAAATCAACATACAAAAATCAGTAGTGTTTCTATACAGTAACAACAATCTGAAAAATCAAGAAAACAATCACAGTTACAACAGCTACAAAAACTTCAAACATTTAGAAATAAATTTAACCGGCCAGGTGCGGTGACTCACACCTGTAATCCCAGCACTTTGGGAGGCTGAGGTGGGCGGGTCACCCTGTCCCACCAAGGAAAACAATGACAGCGTTTCCTGTAAATGATAAAATTGAACTTTCGAGCAAACATCGGGATTTAGGTAAACCTGTGTCCACCACTGTGAACTTTGAAGCTTTCTGACAGGTTTTTTTTTTTTTTTGAGATGGAGTCTTACTCTGTCACCAGGCTGGAGTGCAGTGGCGTGATCTCAGCTCACTGCAACCTCCACCTCCCAGGTTCAAGAGATTCTCCTGACGGCCGGGTGCGGTGGCTCACGCCTGTAATCCCAGCACTTTGGGAGGCCGAGACGGGCGGATCACAAGGTCAGGAGATCGAGACCATCCTGGCGAACACGGTGAAACCCCGTCTCTACTAAAAAATACAAAAAACTAGCCGGGCGAGGTGGCGGGCGCCTGTAGTCCCAGCTACTCGGGAGGCTGAGGCAGGAGAATGGCATAAACCCGGGAGGCGGAGCTTGTAGTGAGCCGAGTTCGTGCCACTGCACTCCAGCCTGGGCGACAGAGCAAAGACTCCGTCTCAAAAAAAAAAAAAAAAAAAAAAAAAAAAAAAGAGATTCTCCTGCCTCAGCCTCCTGAGTAGCTGGGACTACAGGCACGTGACACCATGCCCAGCTAATTTTTGTATTTTTAGTAGAAACGGGGTTTCTTCATGTTGGCCAGGCTAGTCTCAAACTCCTGACCTCAGGTGATCCACCCTTACAGGCGTGAGCCACCATACCTGGCATAACACTTAAAAATTTTGGCCAGGCGCAGTGGCTAACACCTGTAATCCCAGCACTTTGGGAGGCCGAGGCAGGTGGATCACGAGCTCAGGAGTTCGAGACCAGCCTGGCCAACATGATGAAACCCCGTCTCTACTAAAAAAATACAAAAATTAGCCGGGCCTGGTGGCGGGTGCCTGTAATCCCAGCCACTCGAGAGGCTGAGGCAGAAGAACTGCTTGAACCTGGGAGGTGGAGGTTGCAGTGAGCTGAGGTCACGACACTGCACTCCAGCCTGGGTGACAGAGTGAGACTGTCTCAAAAAAAATAAAAAGACAAAACACAGTGTGGCACTGGCTTAAAGACAGACACAGAGACCAATGGGGTTGAATAGAGAGCCCAGAAATAAACCCTTCAATATATGGTCAAATGGTTTTCAACAAGGGTGACAGAATCATTCAACGGTAGACAGAATGACCTTTTCAACAAATGAGGCTAGGAGCAGTGGCTCACGCCTGTAATCCTAGCACTTTGGCAGGGCAAGGCAGGCAGATCACCTGAGGTCAGGAGTTTAAGACCAGCCTGGCCAACGTGGTGAAATCCTGTCTTGACTGAAAATACAAAAATTAGCTGGGCATGGTGGTGCATGCCTGTAACTCCAGCTACTGGGGAGGCTGAGGCAGGAGAGTCATCTGATCCCAGGAGGCAGAGGTTGCAGTGAGCCAAGATCTCGCCACTGCACTCAAGTTTGGACAACAGAGCCAGACTCCGTCTCAAAAAACAAACAAATAAACACAAATGGTTCTGGACAAATAGAATAGTCACATGCAGAAAAATGAAGTTGGGCCAGGTACGGTGGCTCACGTCTGTAATCCCAGCACTTTGGGAGGCCGAGGCAGGTGGATCACCTGAGGTCAGGAGTTTGAGACCATCCTGGCTAACACAGTGAAACCCTGTCTCTACTAAAAATACAAAAATTAGCTGGGCATGGTGGCGGGCACCTGTAATCCCAGCTACTCCTGAGGCTGAGGCAGGAGAATCACTTGAACCTGGGAGGCGGAGGTTGCAGTGAGCTGAGATCACGCCACTGCACTCCAGCCTGGGCGACAGAATGAGACTCTGTCTCAAAAAAAAAAAAAAGAAAAAAAAGAAAAATGAAGTTGGACCCTTACCTTACATCATATACAAAAATTAAATAAAAATGGATCAAT